GCTCCGCCGGCTCTGCCTCAGTCCCTGGTCTCTCGACCTGGCCCTCCTGGCCCTCCGTCCCTCCCCCTGTTCCGCCTCCGCTCCACCGCCCACCTGGATCATATAGTGTCTGGAAGCTCTGGAAGCCGCTCCTTGGGGGGGGGCTCTGTCACGAATTCGGTCCATGGACTTCCGTTTATTCACCACCAGAGGTCACCCTTTCCATTACATTGACTCTCGCACAACACAAACTGTTGCATAGCACCCCGGACTACATATCCCATCATTCATTGCACTGATTGCACACAGCACTGATATTGCACATTGCACACAGCTGTTTCATATCACTCACTCACTATATAACACCCACTCAAACAACCATTCAGTATTGTTTATTGTTTAGCCTGTACCCCGTTCCGAGTCTCTGAGTTTCCTTGTTTTGCCTTGCCTTGCCTGTTCTCTCGGTTTCTGATCTTTGCCTGTTTTCCTGGATTTTTCCCTCTCGTCTCGCCCCTGTGATTCTGTCTGCCGATCAGTGACCTACGCTAGCCCTAGGACTATTCTTGTGTTTTGCCTGCCATATACCTGTTTGCCATTGTTCGACCCTGCCTGTTATACCACGTCTCTTAAATAAAAGCTTGCAGATGGATCCACACGTCTCACGTCTCGTCAGCCCCGTTACAATTGTCCTAATTGAAGTTGCTTTGGATAAAAGTGTCTGCTGAATGGTTAAATGTGGACGTTAATTTGCCTGAATCTATATAGAATTGGGGACCTTTGTAGGCATATTGGGAATGTATTTTTTTAGACATTTAATTTTGTATGTAAACCCATTGTTAAATAAAAATGTATTTTTTTAGACATTTAATTTTGTATGTAAACCCATGTGTTAATACAAAGTAATGAGTGTTTCAATAAAGCTATGTAGTACTGTATTGTTTCTGTCTTATTGCTAAATATATATTTTATATGCATCAATATATGGCTATACATGGTTCATGCATATATTGCAGAATATTGAAAAAATTAAGGACTAGAGTCCCATATATCAAAATATATTGTTTCATATATCACATTATGTCTTCCAATATATCCACATATATTTTTGTTTCGTAAGGGAAATCTGGAGGTCTGGAAGTTTCTGGTATAGTCAGTACTGGAACTCCTTTTCATTTCATTCCTTCCCCTTGCTGTCAAAGACTTTGGTACCCACTCAGTGTAGGCTATAAGGTATCTTTCAAGTCCCCGCCAGTCTTCATTGTGGTAGCAATGGTTACAATGCAGCAGAGTCTGTGCTGTCAGGTAACAGAGGTTCACTTCACTTTATTGTCCCAAAGGGGAACTCAGGGCAGATTCTGCTGTCAAGTAAAAAAGGACACAGTGCAATCACACTATAGACATCAATGCTTGACAGACAATGACACAGATTAACTATTGTACATCATCTTTCTAAGACTGGTCCTGTTTTGTAGGCCCAGGTATAGAGGTATTGTGTAGGGGGACACTCTTAAGTATTCATCTATTCAGCAGCAACATGGAAACAAGACAAAGCACAAATTACAAATGAATCTTCCTACTAATAAAGCTAACTTTACGAGACTACATACAGTTGCTAGAGGTGAATACCCTCTAGATGTGATGATTATGGATTATATCCTCCATCCATACATTTGGCTACAAATACATATGCAGTTGTTTTATATGAAACATGCACTGATATTCACATCACACACTAATATTAATTTGTTGAATAGGCATGTTAGCTAATGCCAACCATTATGGCCAGATTCTGCCTTATATGGACAGTACTGTATGTCCTTTACAGTGACTTCCTGATTCTTATTCATCCTTCCTACAGTGTCTTGTCCCTTCAGTTTCTCTATCATAGTGGTAATTATAACTGGACTGTGTAAACTTGTCAGTCACTGGTAAAATTGAATGTCCCTTTAATGTTGGCAGAGGAGTATAACACAAATAGGCAAACAATCCTGTATCAAATGGCTTTTTTTTTTGGCTTTCTCTGCCTTTCTTTTCATGTTGTCAACCTCACCTTGGGCCTGAAACAAATCAGCCTCAAGCTTCCTCTTGATGTTCAACAGACCTTTGTTCTAGAAATCTCAAACTAGAACAGCTATTAAAAGCAGTAAGACTGTAAAAATCCAGTAAAAGCAAGTAAAGGCTGCATGTCGTGGTATAGGCAGAGAGGGGCAGACTCATGCCCAAAAGTCCATAACACCCCTCTCCTTCTGTGCTGCATTAAAAAGCTGGATGACCCTGGGGACAAAGGACCTCCTCAGTCTGTCTGTTGAGCATTACAGCAACAAGATTCTGCCACTAAACATGCTTTTCCGTGTAGTGAGTGTTCTGTGAAGTGGGTGGCGGTCACTGTCCATGATTGACATCAGCTTACTCAGGGTCCTTTATTCCACCACTGATGATAAGGCCTCCAGTTCTATGCCTGACCACAGAGCCGGCCTTCCTCACCAGTTTGTGCAGTCGTCCAGTGTCTCTCTTCTTAGCACTGCCTCCCCAGCACACCACAGCATAGAAGAGGACACTGGCAATGACAGACTGCTAAAACATCAGGAGGAGTTTTTTGCAAATGTTAAAGGATCCCAGCCTCCTCAGGAAATAGAGCCTGTTTTGCCCTTTCCTGAACAGTGCCACATCAGCTTACTCAGGGTCCTTTATTCCACCACTGATGATAAGGCCTCCAGTTCTATGCCTGACCACAGAGCCGGCCTTCCTCACCAGTTTGTGCAGTCGTCCAGTGTCTCTCTTCTTAGCACTGCCTCCCCAGCACACCACAGCATAGAAGAGGACACTGGCAATGACAGACTGCTAAAACATCAGGAGGAGTTTTCTGCTAATGTTAAAGGATCCCAGCCTCCTCAGGAAATAGAGCCTGTTTTGCCCTTTCCTGTACAGTGCCTCGGTGAACATTGAACATGCATGCATAGGTGTTACTTGACTCCAAATATAACAAAGTAAAGTGAACAGCCAGGCTTATGGCATCTTCCACAGCCTGGTAAGCAAACTGATAGGGATCCATCAGTGATGATACAATGGTTTGTATCATCACTGGATGGAATGGAATGCAGGCCCATCAAGTGAATAAAAAATGATTGTGTAACCCTCTTCGTCGGTGTGCTCCCCCAAGCGGGAGAACACATTACATCTTCCCTACAGTTGTATCCAATCAAGTTAAATCAGAATCAACTTGGAGTTGGAGCTTATCATAGTGTCTGATGTTTTGATAGCTTTTGCAGATACCGTCCATTTTCTGAAAACAGGACGGTGTCTGGCAGGTAGGCCTACTCAAAGATGAGTTAGTCAATTGGTAAATAAACTGAGCAATGCACAGGGATAAGGGATATATGAGGCTGTGAAAAGACTGGTGGTAGACATCTGGCATGTAGCTTTATTATACTTTCAGTCACCGGCTAAGACCTTGCTATCCTGTTTCCAACTCTGAACTTATCAGCACACTTAACATGTTCAGATTTTTTTTATAGGAAGTTAAATACTAGCCTGGTTTTCACAGGCTAGTTAATCACGGCCAAGTGACACCAGGTCCCTTGGACAATGACTGATTTCTGTTGAGATTTTCACCAGTTCCACTTCAGCATCCTGAACAGTTTAGGAGTTTTTGTACGTGACAATATACTGTAAAATGTAGATTTTCAATGAAGACAACTGGGCAGTTATGCAGTTTATGCAGTTTAATTGAAATCTCAGATAATTTACAACATTTTCAAATTCACGTTCAAGTTTATTGTAGCCATTTCATAAGTTGATAGGAATCTGTCTTGGTGTGCTTACATCAACACATAAAACACAAGAAAATGCAACAGAGCAAACCTATAAACGTAACAGAGTATCAGAGTACATGAGCCCTGTACTGTCCTAAGTGCTGGAGTTGAAGAGGAACAGTTCAGAATGCAGAAAAAAAAACAGTCCATAGTGCAGAGGGCCAATCTGTTCAGTAGATATTGCACTGGCATTGTGTATACATTCATGATTTTAGTATATTAAGTTGCAGTGCAAAATAATTTCACATGTAACGACATATAATGTTGATAAACTGAATTACCATAGTTTCAGTGGTATTTACATGTCTGATAGCCTGGGGGCAGGTACTATCTCTGAATGATAATGTTCTGCTAGTGATGCTTCTGTATCTTTTGTCTGATGTGTGAAGAATGAAGAGGTGATATGCTTGGTTGGACGGGTCAGTGATGATGCCTTCATGTTTATTCTGGAGAATAAAAAGATAACTCATATCCACACATGTATAAGAGTAAATTCACTCTTCAACACATACAGTCATGTCCAACGTATACAGTTAAAGCAAATGTGCTGAAAGGTCCAAATAGTCCATGGTAGGCCTAAAGTGCTATTTAGTGTAAAGTGCTTCATAGTGGTTGTTGCATGTTAGTGATAAGTTGCATTTGGTGGGTGTCAGACTTCAGTGTGGTAATGGCTTTGGGAAAGAAACTGTTCATGAATCTTATAGTGCATGTTTTCATGGACCTGTAGTGTTTTCTGGAGGGCATTAGTTCAAACAGTTGGTGGGCAGTATGGGTTGGATCCTTGAGGATGCTGTGTGTCTTTTGCAGGCAATGGGAGGTGAAGATGTCATCCAGGGAAGGAAACTGTTGATTTATGATGTTCTGTGCAGTCTGTACAACTCTCTGCAGGGACAATGATGATGATGAGAATTTAAAAACAAAACAAAACAGAGTGGTCTCCTTCCTAATCTCCTTCCTCTGACTCCGGACTACTGAGGTCATACTCGTCGTCATCAGTGTCTGTCCTGCATTCTGAGTCCTGTATCTGGAGATCATCAACTATAGCGTGATATGTGCTTACGGCTTCTTGACATAACCTCTCCAGTGCAGAAGACTGCCGCATGAGGACACTTTTCCAACCCTCTGCAGCGTCCTCCGTCATGTCACCAAAATCTGTATTAAAATGGAAATTATTATGCATCACAGCAGGAGGGTTAATTTTTTTTCCAAACATAACATTTACAAATATTAAATTCCAAAATCATAGTATGTAGAACCACATAAAACAGAAAGATGTTACTAATTGTCTTGTTTTGTCATATTTGTTGCATGGAAAACATACATACATTAGTGAGGAAATAAATGTTTAGAATTTGACATACTGCCCATTCTGATGTTCTTTTTGCACTTCTCCACTCCCTTTATCTCCTTCTGGAGAGACTTGATGTGCTGGGACATCTCTTTGACCAGGATGCTCTGCTCCTCCTCAAGGCGTTTAAGTAGCATCATTTGGTCAAAAACTGACCGTTTTAACCTGAAGGAGTGGCCTTTAAGTAGAGGAAAGTGATGGAAACATGAAAAAGTGATTTTGTATTCATAATTATGTTACAAACCCAAACACATACCCACACACACTGAATTTTTTTTCATTGTTACACCATAGGCAGGTGGGAATACATTTTAGAGAACATGCCAAGACAGGCTACCATACCATCTTCAAGCCTCTCTCAAGGATGTAGTCTTCCGTCAAACTGCAGGCCAACTCTTCATCAATCTTATCCTCTTCAGTTGAATTGTACTGCAAGATCTTTTCTCTTAGTTTTTTCTTTAAATCTCTTATTTTCTTTCTCTTCCTTTGCCTTGTCTGGTTGCTATCTGCAAAGTGAAACAAGAAAACAGTGATGAAAATAGTGTTTTTGTTTGTTTGTTTTGGTAATGTACCATTTGAAAATCTGTCAACCAACCATGTTGACGATAGAGGTCTTGCTTCTTGCGGAGCAGGCTAACTGTGATGCTCTCTATCTCAGCTCTGAGGTCCTCTGTGCTCCCTGGTGTGGAGACTAGCTCTAAATACGTAAGACAGTCAAGTGATCACCTTATGTAGTACATATTTGAACAAAGTAATTAACAGTTTGTGAAAAATTTGTGAAAAGACCAAGTGATGTGTATTATTTTACCTGCGACTGCCCATTGCTGAACATCACATACCCACTGCTGTACTGTTTGTTCAGTGAGGTGATTCTTTTGTTGGAACTCACTGAAGCTGGGGGCTTCCAGCTTTGCCCTCTCAGAGATTTTTAAATCACACACAAAAAAATGCAAGCTTTCAGCCAAAACCTTCACCAGATCAAGAAATGATTAATGTATATAAATTAACGGATGAATGAGCTTATTGCGGATGCCCGGGCTCCGAGTCTGC